GGGGCAGAGCTTTGGGGAGGTGTGGGGGTGGCAAGAGGCCATGGGTTTCCTCCGGGCCTGTCCGTCCGTCTCCGTTGGCTGACTCCTGCCTGCCGCTGAGACTGTGAACTCTGTCTGCAAGTGCTGGGTTTGTACAGCGCCTGGCGCACCCGAGTCCGGAACCTGCCTGGGGCATCTAGGCGGACAGGGATTAGAAAAGAGGGGCAGAGCTTTGGGGAGGTGTGGGGGTGGCAAGAGGCCATGGGTTTCCTCCGGGCCTGTCCGTCCGTCTCCGTTGGCTGACTCCTGCCTGCCGCTGAGACTGTGAACTCTGTCTGCAAGTGCTGGGTTTGTACAGCGCCTGGCGCACCCGAGTCCGGAACCTGCCTGGGGCATCTAGGCGGACAGGGATTAGAAAAGAGTGAAGAAAACAGAGGAATCATTACAATAGGGATAGCGACTAAGACAGAGAATCTCTTATCGCCTTTGGATATATCCATGATACGCCACGTCTTGAATCCGGCGTGCAGACGTGGTCTCCTCATCCCAAAAAAGCTCTCTTGCCATTGGAAAAGGTTCAGAAAAGGGTAACGAAAATGCGGAGGGGTTTGGAACGGGTCCCCTAGGAGGAGAGATTAAAGAGACGGGGACTTTTCAGCTTGGAAAAGAGGAGACGAAGGGGGGATAGGAGAGGTCTATAAAATCATGAGGCGTGGAAAAAGTGATTCAGGAAAAGTGATTGATTTACTCCCACACGATAAAAGCTAGTGGCCATTCAATGAAACGAAGAGGCAGCAGGTTGAAAACAAACCAAAGGAAGTGGCGCACAGCCAACCTGTGGAACTCCTCGCCGGAGGAGGCTGTGAAGGCTAGGACTAGAACAGAGTTTAAAGAGAAGCTAGATCGTTTCAGGGATGGTGTGAAGACTTAAGATTTTAGCAGGGTTCAAAAAAGAGCTAGATAGATTCATAGAGGTTGCGTCTTATCAGTGGCTGTTAGCCAGGATGGGTCGGGCGGGTGCCCTATCCGTGTTTGTCTGGGAACGGGCCACGGGGGTAGGAATCACGGGAGGATTCCCAGTTCTGTTCCCTCCCTCTGGGACACCTGGCATTGGCTGCCGTGGACCAACGAGATCCTGGGCTGCGTGGACCTTTGGGCTGACCCAATTTGGCGCCACTGATGTTTTTATGAGCAACTGAGGTTGGGCAGGACTTGGGTCTACACAGGGGGAAGGTAGGTTGCTGAAGGGGGCGGGGCCTGGGATAAAGGGAGGCGGGGCCTGGCCTAAACTCTGTTCTAGTCCTAGCCTTCACAACCTCCCCTGGCGAGGAGTTCCACAGATTAACTACACGCTGTGTGAAGAAGAACTTTCTTTTATTCATTTTAAACCTGCTCCCTACTAATTTCATTTGGTGTCCTCTAGTTCTTCTATTATGAGAACTAATAAATAACTTTTCTTTATGCACCCTCTCCACACCACTCATGATTTTATAGACCTCTATCCTATCCCCCCTCAGTCTCCTCTTTTCCAAACTGAAAAGTCCCAGCAAAATGCAGGACTATGTAGCACTTTAAAGACTAACAAGATGGTTTATTAGATGATGAGCTTTCGTGGGCCAGACCCACTTAAAAGTCCCAGTCGCTTTAGCCTCTCATCCTATGGGACCATCCACGACTGATTTCCAAAAGAAAAAAATCCAACTTGTCTATTTTCCCGGCGGTTTGTAAATTGCTGTGGAAGTCATGTGCCCGAATAGTATTTTGTGCTCTGACGAATGAACGTCGTTGACATGGGAGGCCAGGGTTACCAACCGTCAATAAATTTACAGGCCGTCCGTAGAATGTGAGCCAAAATTGGACGTGTCCGTAAAGTCCATAAAAAACGTAGGTGTCGGTAAATTTTGTAAAAGTGCGATACAATTTCCAAAACCAGCAATTCTTCGCCAGCGAGTCCACGTCTTCTGTGCTGCTTCCACCATTTTCCTGCGGCGCAGCAGAAATTGGACGTTTGAGTTGTTGAGCTATCGGTGTTCGGAGGTACGATCCCAAAGTGGAAAACTTCCAGGTCGGTGACTAACTCAATGAAAGTGAGTTCAATAGCGTCTTGTTCTTCTGATGTGTGAACGACAACCGGGACTCTCCACTTTGTGCCATTTACGTCATCTTAATATAGTAGAAAAAGGATGGCCGTAAAAAAATGCGTCTGGCCGTAAATGTTTCCCGTTTTGTCCGTAAATGAAATTTCGGTGGGTTGGCAACCATGCTGGAAGGGGTCGGGGGAAGATTGCTTATTTTAGAAAGCAGATAAAAAATGTCTAAAGTAAGACCAGGCCTAGAGAAGGAATTAGGTAAATCCCTTCACACAGTTGGCAAACTCACGGATCAGGGGGCCTTGGTGCTAGTTAGGGGAAGGATTAACCGATTCACCGGTAAGCATCGCCCGTTGGTGGGTTGGCAACCATGCTGGAAGGGGTCGGGGGAAGATTGCTTATTTTAGAAAGCAGATAAAAAATGTCTAAAGTAAGACCAGGCCTAGAGAAGGAATTAGGTAAATCCCTTCACACAGTTGGCAAACTCACGGATCAGGGGGCCTTGGTGCTAGTTAGGGGAAGGATTAACCGATTCACCGGTAAGCATCGCCCGTTACGGTTCTGGGGGGGACCAGGGGCTGCTCTGGTCCTGAGGGTCCCGCCGCAGACAGGTTTGGGTTGAGCCGGTTCAGCGATGACACCGGATTTTCCACCGCCCTGGTACTCGCTGCAGTCCGGGCACACTGGTAAACTCCGATCTTGCATAGACCCACAAGAGGGGGCGTTGAAAAGTAGCCTAACCCACCCCCAAGGACTCTGGCCTCCGAAGCCAGGGGGGCAGACGTGTTCCCCGAAAGAGCCACCCACCGTGGTCTATTTGACGGGTCTATGGGGATTTCTCCTCTCAGAGAAACCAGGGGGACGGGGTCAGGGTTCAGGCGCATGGTGGGAGACACACAAAGAAGGGGCCCGGCCGGGGTGGGTTGGGACGGTCCCTGTTTCGGGCCTTATTCTGGATGTCCCCAGTTTTATTTCGGACAAATCGGGACGTGTGTCGCGTTCAGGTTTGCCGACCATTACTTAATGTACCGGACACACCCAGAGCCACGCACTTTCCCCGCTCCGTGCCTCAGTTTCCCGGGGCGGCTGGCGTGGCCCGGGGATCCCAGCGAGGCGGCTTGTGTCTCGGCTGCCTCTA